CTGCCCCCCAGCACTGCTGGCTGGCTCCCGGCCAGCTCTAAGTCAGCTCTGCGGTCACCGGCTGGCCACAGGTCTGCTGCAGGCAGGCTTCTGGCATGTGGCCGATTTCATGCGGACTCCACTCTCCACACCTGCTCTCACTTCCACCTGGCATTTCACATACACCTTCCCACTAAGTGGACCTGTGGCCATCCAGGGAGCAAATTCAGCCTGAGATAGGCTGGTCATGCGGTGGTCATTTAGCAAGCAGCCAACCATTACTTAGGAACAGCCATCCGTCCACGTGCAGGCTCTGGGTGAGTGAGACGGAGGATGGAGGCCCCCAAGGTGCTCTCAGTCAGGTCGAGGAGAAAGACTGCTCACAAGTCACGGTCCCTGAAAAATTTAGAACCTGTTTGCTGAGTCACCGTTAGCAGCTGGAAGAGCAATTGCCGCCCCAAGGAGCTGAGTGTCCCAGCTCGCCGAGGTCCTGCTCTCATGCGCCTGGCCTCACTGCAGCATCCAGGCCCAGGGAGACGGCTGCACCATTAGCATCCCATAAATTAATAAGCAGAAAGGGACAGAAGGCTGTCTTGTCCTTCCCATGCCGGGGTCGCCCTCAGTCTGACCCAGCCAGCCCTCACCGCGCAGTCATCTTTGCCTTCATGGTAGGTCAGATCCACTTTTAAAATCTCGTTTCAGTTCACTCTGTTTCATCACGGTCCCCTCACGCGAGGCAGACCTCCCCCACTGCACAGCTCCAATCCCGAGACTCCGTCACCTCGTGAGACGGGCCTGATCCTGCAGACTTAGGAAGGAGCACACATTGCCCACACTTTGCAGGGGCTTGTGGGACCCTCTGAGCATCCTTGTGGTCGGTCCTGGGTGCCTGCCTCAGCTCCAGGTGGCAACTCCCCTCCGCGGCCCTCACCCTCCCGCCCTCCCACCTGCGTCAGTCCCAGGAGCTCATCCTCCCCATCAGGAAACCTAACACCACAGCCACGGTGTTCCCTGACAGGCTCCAGGACGGGGGCCGGAGTGTCCCCAGGGCCATCTGGGCCAAGCCTCTGGTCAGGAGATACTTCCTCTGCCCTTCAAGTCTTCCCCGGGCCTCTTGCTCATTCAGCTTAGGAAATCCCTGACTGGAAGTATCTGTTGACGGGCCAAGCATCCAGCCCTGCGAACGTGGGCTCCCTCTTCCCAAAACAAGCTGTGTGTGGGGGGAGACGCTTTCTCAGCACAGCCCCGGGACACAAAGGGAAGAGAGAGGACGGGGGTCGGAGAAGCCCTGGGAGGACAGGAGGGGGCATCTCTCCTCTGGGGCCCAGAAGGAAGCGGTTCCTAATGTCCCTGGCAAACCCTGGGGAGCCCATCGGGCAGCAGGCAGGAGCAGTTACTGCCCATTTGCTCTGACTTCTCCGCCCTCCTGACACCTGGGCTCCAGAGGTGCCCTGGGGACGTTTTCTGCGAGTTGTCACACTCCTCTCAGAGCCTTGTGCGTTCCAGGCTGCTTTGGTTGTTGCTGTTACAGCTTCATTGAGATATAATCCGCATACCTTACACACGTACTCTACATTTTGTGCATTTAAAGTGTACGGTTCAGTGGTTTTTAAGTATATTCACAGTTGTGCAACCATTGCCACATCAGTTTTAGGTCACTTTCATCACCCCAAAAAGAACCCCACGTCCATTAGCAGTCACTCCTCGTTCTCCCCGGCCCCTGGCAACCACTGGTCCTTCCTGTCTCTGTGGATCCGTCTATTCTGGACATTTCATGTAAATAGAATCATATAACCTGTGGCCTTGTAAGTCTGGTGCTTTTCACCGAGCGTGACATTTCCACGATTCATCCATGTTGTCGCACGTAACAGAACCTCGTACGAGGCTGCTGTTTGAGATCTAGTCTTGGGGGTGGTTCACGGGCCCCCTCAGCAGGCTTATCTCTCAGGCCCCAGTGAGAGCAGAGTGCGAGGAGCTCTCCCTGGTCTTGCAGTGGCCAGCAGGCTGTCCCTCCGTGCACGGCCCAAGGCGCCCCATAGCTTTCCTGCCCGACATGCTAACACGAGTGACTTTACTTGGAATGGAGCCCAGAGAGGGAAGAAAGTGGCAATAAAGAGAACTTGTGGATGGTGGAAGGAGAGGTGGGTCACGGGCCATTTATGTGCACACTAGTTAAAGGACTCGGATGCTCAAAAAAAAATAAAAACAGGAATCTGGACTCCTTTCGCAGCCTCTTGCTGCTGGATGCCTGAGGAGCTTTGTTTGTTGGCTCTGGCCTAGGAGTGCAACTGTCTTCAAGAGGCCCGTGACCTGTTCTCTCTTCCTTCCCCCACTGACCTTTGAGAACTCTTGGTTCTCCTGAGTCTGAAACAATTTGGTGCTTCATCTGCTTAGTTCTGGGACTGTTCAGTGTATTTTAAGTAGCTTGGGAAGGAAAGGAGAGGTGTGGGACTGGAAGATAAGAAATAATAAAGGACACAGTGAAGTAGCGTGGAGGCAGAAGAAAGACGAAGGTCTCAGGGTCGTAAAGGCCATCCCTCTCTCTCATCGTCCCATCCTCCTTTTCTCCACCCTCCGAGCAACAGCCAGACCAAGGAGGTGGAGAAGCCTGTGCAGCAGAGCGAGGTTTCTGAGAGAAACAGAACATGTCACGAGAGCTGGTCTTCGGGGGACTGTTAACTGGCAAAGATGGTCCTCAGTAAATGAAATAACAAATGGACGGGGTGGGCTTCTTATACACTTCTGTCCACCTCCCAGCCCGGGAAGACCCACGCTTTACGGGGCTTATACAGTTTGGGGCACTCTTTTTAAAAAATAATACAAACTTTAAATACAAGTTAAATATGGAAGTGAATATTTAAATGAGAAAAGAATCACAACAAATTACAAGTTTTTAGAAGATAACAATCCATCAGACCCCACAAAATCTAAAAACAACATGGTATTTTTCTTTATTAACTGCAACACAACTTTATAACCCTTTCTCCTACCATTTTTGGCCACATCCCTGTGATCGCCTCTTCATAGGACAACACGTGCGCCCTATGATCATACAAACTGATTTTCTTCACGCGGCGTTCATTTTCTGCTGCCTTGTCTCTTCTTTAAGAAGATTCTTACAGTTTTCTTCATCTCCTCTGTCGTTATTGTTGTCGTCTCCGTTTGCTGTCTGTTGGGCTTCTTCATTCTCGTGACCCTTGGAGATTTCATTGACTTCGGGGGATGGTGCGCGTTTTTGACATTTTCAACTGTTGCCACTCTTCTATCTTTCGGTGGATGTTTATCTCTTCCACTAGGATCATTAGTTCTTATTATATTCTAATTTTATTATGCTCAACGTGAAAAAAATACTAACTTTATAGGAAATAAAGCCATACCCAAGAGAAATTCTAATGCACTTTACAATTGCTGCTATGCTCCATTGAGCTATTTAGTTGAGTAATTAAATGTTTATGGACTTATTTACGAGTATGTTCATGATTTTTATCATTGGAACACATTTCTTTAAGCTGTTTCGCTGTGCCGTGGCAGTTTTGGATACCATTTTGTTGGGAACAGACAGAATGAATCAAGACCAGATGAGCTGGATATGCTATGATGTAATCAGGTATGGGGGAATGCCAAAAATAAGCAGCTCCACACGGGCCCTGCAATCATTCTAATACGTTCTGTTTTACGCAGTTTACAACAAAGTGGTCAAAAGAATGTATACGACAGTTAAGTTCGTATGTGCTGCATTGGAAAGTACAGTCTTATCAAGAGAGAACTCACATTTTGACCAAGTATCAGGAAGAACAGGATATTCTCATTACAAGTTTACAAATCTGATGATTGGAGGAACTTTCCGTAGACTAGCTTCTGGCTCCGTATGTTCTAAACCTTGTTTCTCCTCCACCACCCAGCTCTTCTGGTACAGGTGCCAGGGGCACGCCACCGAGCTGCAGAACCTCCGCACATCACATATGCACATCACAGTGCCGTCTCATGATGCCGCGCGAGTGGGCACAGTGGACAGAACCATTGCTGGAAGCCATTCCTACACCCAGATGGCCAGCAATAACCCTACCCTGCACCCAAGTGGCCGTGAAACACAACATGTATCCCATTAACCCAAAGGATTTATTTCCAGCTCAACTTTACCTCAGCTGGACCCCAATAATGTCTATGGCAACTGCTACACCATAGAATCTGAAGGGAAGCGTGATAAAGCAGAAGTTGGCAGAGAAAAAGGGAAATTCTAACCACATGTGATGAAAACATCTTGCTTTTGCAAATTTTATGAGAATACAGTCATGTGAATACCTTGCTACGGGTCCTCCCCGCATCTTGGGGAAGATTCACGCAAGTGAGGACCCTGAAACACAAGCAACGCTAGCCTCACTGTGGCTCCCACTCTGTAAAGATGGGAACTCTGGTTGCCACCAGCCTCACTCTGCCTGCCGCACCGTGCCTCCCTGTCATGCACTTTCTATGTTCTGTTTCTACACACCTTCTGGTTCTGACTGTTCCCACTGAAAAGAGTAGAACATTAGATATTCTGGAAGTGAAGAGGATTCATGAAAGTGGAGGCAGTAAATGGAGTGATGGTGTTTCTAGGGCTGAATTTTGTAAAGACGTCAAACCAAATTACTACAGATTTAACGCAACTTCGGAAAGATTTTCGTTTTGCAACTTTAGGAAATGTTTTTAACATTTACCTTAAAGAATAACAAGCAGGAGTAACAAAAACGTTTCAAAAAATGGAGATGGTGAATAGGGTGGTTGGGATATTAATCCCACCAAAATCTTATAAGTCAACATAAACAAAACAAAATACTTGCAGTATCAAATCCGACGATAGATCAACAGACTAGTCATTCATTCAATAACTATTAGCTGAGCTACTAATATGTTCAAGGAACCGACTAAATGGAAGGAAACCACAGCAGGGAATATATAAAAATGTATTCTACCTTAAAAAGGAAAGGATGTATTTTCAATAAAGATGTTGGGAAAATTCAGCATTTGGGGGAAATTCTTACCTTATCCTGTGGGGTGCTGGAGCCCAAGCCAACTGTCTACATCCTTCCCTTCTCTGCATTCAGTGGGAGCTTGAAATTCACCACATGTGTGTATTTACACCACAGAAATTAGCAAATGTTACAAATCAAGGCTTCCTCTCCCACAGCGACAGTTGTTAAGCCTGGCCCAGCACACCACTGCCTTACGTCACGCACCAACATTAATTTCGACTAAGTGAAAATTAAATGTAAAAAGGGAAAACTTTAACAATTTATACCAACTTTAACAATATTATACCAATAAGCAATCAACAGCGTCCCACTAGAAAATGAACAAAGGAACAAGAAAAAGTAAATCAGAAAAAAATGAAAAATCCCCAATAAATATTTTAAAAAATTTAGTCTCAGAAAAAATTCACCCAAAGAAATGAAGATAGAACGTTGATGACTTGCCATTTTTCTAACCCGAGGGAAGCTATTTTTAAATCACAGTATTCAGCACCGGGGTGAATACAATTAAATTGATGCCCAGATACTGCTGATCGATACAAGCTTCTGCTAAGCACTTTGGCACAAGCATGAAGAGCCTGGAGAGCATTTTACACGTCGATGCGGTGGTTTGGAATCTATACTGAGGAACAAATTTAAGCCGTCCAAACGCCTGCGTAGACGATGTTTATTGCAGTGTTTCTTATAATAGTGATTCACACGGCATGATTTAAGTGTCAAACAATAGAAATATACTTAAATAATTTATGGCGTGGACGTGGAGGGAAGGCTGTACTGCCATTATACATATTGCTTTTAAACCTGTAGGAATGTGGGAGGGAGTTCATGATACAATTTAAAAGAAAAAAAAGAGGTACAAAAGCATATGCCTCTTTAGCCAAATGATGTAAACATACGAAATAGCACACAGGAGAAGAGGACACATCAGACTTATGTTACCCTGTTCACCATCTCTGGACGGGGATTCGGGGTGAGGTGTGCTTTCTTTGTAAGACCTCATTGTCAATATGTCCGTCAGTAAAGTCACAGGCCGGAAGGTCTCCTACTCTGGGAGAAAGATCCACCTGAGACTCTGGTTATAGTTCTAAACTAGTGCTAACAGGACGTGATGGGAGCCATAGATGTAACTTCAGGTATTCCAGTAGACACAATAACAAAAAGAAAAGGAAGCAGGTGAAGTTAATTGTAAAAATATATTTTATTAATCCAATATGCCTAATATTATTTCAAAGGCAATCAATTTTTTTAAATTGTGAATGAGATCTTTCGCATTTTTATTTTTGTAATAAATCTTTGGGCTTCAGCGTGCGTTTTATACTTACAGCGCATCTCCATGCAGACGAACCACAGTTCAAGTGCTCAGCAGCCTCCTGTGGCCAGCGGCGGCCGTATCGGATGGCGCAGCTCTGAAAAGCTCTGGAACCTCCCCCAGAAACGCACACCTGTACCTCCTCTCTCAGGGCTGATGTCTGGGAGGCCAGAATAAGAACCCACATCGTAAGAGTTCCCCATGGTTTCACAATCAAAGAACACCCTGGGTAATCAATACTGCTTTGTAACTTACAGTTTAGATACTGGAATCAGTCCCGATAAAGAAGACTAATGTTCTCTTGAATTTTGGTCACTAAATGCTTAGGAGTGAAAACCCCACTTCTTCTGGTACATCTGCACAAGGTGTGAAAATCAGGTTGGGCTGGTGCCTCCTACACAGTCAGCCATCTGTTGGGCTCCCAAGGTGTTAACTGGAGTGGCTCCTTAGAGACTATTTAGTGACTGCCATTTCAGTTTTAGTTTTGAAAGATAGTTACAAGCTAGTATTACCCCAATCCTATATTTACAAAAGCCACACCTAAGTTAAAAATTAATTTAACTTATCTTGTAATTAAGTTCTTGAAGATGTCCTTTGCTTAATTTAACACAGATTGATCTTCCTTCTCTCTTGGAGATCTTTGACATATAGCTTCTGGTATCATTGATTTGTTTAATTTGACTGCGATGTTTTCACTTTTGAACACTGCAAGTCTTGTGATTGGCCAAATCCTCTTTGCTTCGTAGCAAAATACAACAGCCCTGGGTTTTGACTCACCTTTAACAGCTCAGCAGAATGTTCCCGTACATTTCTGTGTATTAACCCACTGCCGACTTTGTTTTTCCTTTATCTTGCATTCATCTCAATCTACTTACTGATTTTACATTATGTACCTTTCATCTCAGCTGCCTCAAATCCTTTTTGGAACGAGTCAGTATTTTAACTAATTAATTGATTCGAGTCAGTATTTTAATTAATTAATTGATTCCATTTTGGTATCATCCAAAAAGTGAAGCTGTGAGTACCCATTAAGCATGCTGAGCTATGAGATAGTTCATAAATTTCATTTCTGAGAAGTGAGTCATGCAGGTTTCAAGTGATGGCTTAGAGAAACTTACATCATCCAGCAGGAGGAAGGCAGTTGGCCAATGGATTACAAACACATATTTGTCTACAAGGATTTCTCCATTCTTGCTTGATGTCCCCAGAGCTTGAGGGCACATTGTACTGTGTTCCACATTGTAATTGCTTTGCTGGTTTGGAAAGAACCTTGCCTCATTGGTACAACTTCTCTCTTCAGTAAGTATGCTGGATGTCGCTTGTCCTCAGAAATTCTCTCATCTCACCATCAGGAGACCTCGTGGCGTTGATTTAAATGTTTTCTTTTTTTTTTTTTCTTAACTGAAAACACTTTGAACAAGCAATAAAAAAATAATTCCCTGGAAGTTGTGGTAAAAATGTTCTTTGTTCCTAAATCGGGGCCTTTTATTAACTGTCTGAAAATAACGTGGTTTTCCTGGTCACTGTATGCAGTTCTACTGACATTCAGGGAAAAATTAAAATGAAGTAAAGTGCAGCTTCAGCTCACAAACGCAACTTTACAAGGTCAAACCGTTTGCTGGGGAGTTTAGTCTAAACCTGGAACACAGTTCACTTGATCCAGATGGAATTCCTACAATCCAAAGGAGGGGAAGAATCGTCCATTACGATGTTCAAACTGATGATAAATTTTACATAAATCAGGTGTGTCAAACGAGGTGTGATGGCAGATATGATGAATATTGTGAATTTCCTTCCACTCATGCACTTCATTCTTATAAGTCAATGGGGTGTTCATCCAACAATACTCAACAAACAAACATGGTTGAGCAGGTCTACGTCCTCACAGTTAAGAACACGGGGGTAAGCCAGCCGTGGCACTTGACCAGAGGAGCCAGGCTTTCTCAGCCTCAGTACTATTGACATCCTGGAGTGGTCAATTCTTTGTTGTGGGGACTGTCCTGTGCATTGTAGATGGTTCAGCAGCATCCCTGGCCGCCACCCACGCAATGCCAGTAGCACAATGGATGGTAACAGAGTGGCCAGTCATGACAACCAAAAACGTCTCCAGACATTCCAAAAGTGCCCTGGAAGACAAATTGCCCCAGTTGATGATCCTGGGTCTGATGTGGATGAGACGAGTAAACAGATAATTCCTGAAGCCCAGTGTGAGGACAGTGTTCAGTGCTGTGGGAGCATATAGGAAGGACATCCAACCCTACGGGTGAGGTGGGTGGGGCAGGAAGACTTCCCCAGCTAGCGATGCTTATGTGGAGTCCCAGAAGATGTAACTAGGTGGCCATCGGGGGCAGGAGTCCGTGGAGGACGTCGGAGGCCAAGGAGCAGAGCACCGCGTCACTAGCTCCGTCTTGGAGTGAGTGGGGGAAGGGCAGCTGGCACATCTGTCGCCCTCTCCAAGATGAGGGCTGGGAGGGAGGAAGAGATCCGTAGGCTGGAGCAGGAAGAAGACTAGAAGAATTTTTCTTTCTAGTCTCTGTCACGTGCACAAGCACACGCACACACACATACAGCACCATGCACCAACCAGGGCTCCAGATGTAGACGGTCCCCCAGTGAACCCAACAAATACAGGCTCCTGTAATCTGTGAGGAAGCTTTAGTTTGCACATTCCTGCAAGGAGGACTCGCACCCCTACCTCCAGGTCTGTTGAAAAACGCAGCCGGGGTGCGAGGCGTGCAGCGTGGCCCCCGCGAGGCGGAGCAGCTGCTCTATAACCCGATCCCTTTGCTCTTTTGAATGCAGAGAGGCGTCCTTTGACCTTGGTCATGACTCGGTATTTCTGTTTTCTTCTATGCCACCTCATTAAAAATAAATGAAAAAAATAAGAATGGAGAAGTCACGAGGAGCCTAGCTAATGGTGAAATTCAGGTGAAAACGGCACCATGCACCTGTTGGTGGGAGACCTCCGCCCCCGAGGCGGCACAGCGGGCACCTGTTCTGAGAGCAGCTGAGGCCGCCACACAGCCCTCAGTGGACGGGACGGCGGTGTCCCCGTCGTCGAGGTACCCACAATGCTGTTCAGCAGTGGGAACAGACAGGCTGAGGGGAGCCCAGCCGGGTGTGGGGGGAGTATTTATCCAGGTGGGAGCTCCCATATTGTTAGAAGAATGGGCACGACTCCCAGGTTCCGCCTGCCTTGTAGGCCTCCTTTGGGAAGGGGTATAAGGAAATCAGTGTTCACAGAAACACCCACACACCAGAGCCGTGGGCCGGGGCATTGTCAAGAGCATGCTCTGCCCTCCACACAGTCATGCCTGGCATTCGGAGCTTCCTGTGACAACAGATTAATCCTCTCCAAACAGTATTCATCTCCAGCATCTGTCTCAGACAGACATGAGCATCTTCGGCGTTACGCAAAACCTATTATACTTCCAGGGAGATGAAGCTCCGAGCCGCAGCGTCGGAATCGCGCCGTGATGGAACCGCAAACTCTATTTTTGCTCGGGGTGAAATAAATCTTGTGTCAGTCACAGATAATTATAGTCTGGAATATTACAAGAAAATTAAAATGTGTAAAATGTCTCTCTCATTTCAAATAAATGTCAGAAACTGCATATACACCTCGGTGACTAGACTTCAGGATCAAACTGAAGCAGATACTCACTCTCTGCCCAGAGTCAAGCCCACCCCTTTAGGCTTCACCGGTGCCACTTTTGCAGGGAGAGGTGTTTGAAAGTTTCCAGCATTTGGCTCCTGCAAAGCTACCCTTGAGACGAGGAGGGCACAGCACGGAGAACACAGCAGTCACACAAGTCACTTCAAAAGTGACAGCGTTCACACAAGTCACGTTGCAATTCAAGACACAGGTCAGTTGATAGTTTCCAGAAAAACTGTGTCATTCAACCAAATAGAAGCAATCTCTTTTTCAACCTGTTTGAAGAGGTCAATACAGTTAACCACAAGCCTGGAAAATTACACCCCAATGCAC